AAGCGAAATGTCAGGAACTAGCTGCAATGGACCTCAAAAGCAATTTTACGTTGACTATTCCGATCAAAACACACATATTGTCATCCCTAAGGTTCCGTATCTACTTCTACTACTATTTAAATCTTCACATTCATAAAAAGAAAAAGTAAACGAAAAATTTATTGAAATGAAGATTTCGTATGGTTCAGAAATCCTCCTCTAAATTAAAGTATACGTGACCATTCTAAGGGCCACTATGTTTGTAGCTACGTCAAGGTCTCTTCCATGGAATGAATACAAGAAACTTCTAAAAGAATCAGGCGTGCGCGAAAAAAATGAGTGTAATGGGTGCGGGGGATATATATCCCGCACGGTCCGACATGGCCTGCAATGCGCGGGATATATATCCCCCGCGTTGTCGTCAATGTGTTAATAAACCTGTCCGAAAACTGACAGATAGTAATGAACACTGCTACAAACTAAAAATAGACTTACCCAAAATAAGAAATGCTACGCTATCATCTGCATGAGCACTACGTATGCTATGAAACCGCACTCGGATAAGCCCGCGCACGCTCCAGAGGAAAAGACCGCCGCCAAACGAAACCTCAAAGAACTCCATGAGTTAATGATTGAGAACCTTCCAGTTGAAAGCTCTCAGTGTGCAATCAGTGAGCGGACATTCAATCGTGAACAAAATGAAAAATTGCCCATGGCATTCCACTCAAGGTTCGGGAGGGATACAGAGCGCGATGGAATGATATTGGCAAATGCTTATGCACTTGTTAGGAAATCCTATGGCAACGTTCCTGAGGTCACGCTGCTGAGAGGGAGAAGACACGGAGCAACGCGATAGGGGAAGGGAGATAGGGACAGTGGTTCTAAAATGGGCCATGGACGAGACGAATAAAGTGGATGTGGGTGTCAGGTGCAAGAATGACCGAAAGGCACACATGTACGCCTTCCAGCTCGCTGAAACCCTGATCGGTCCGGAGCTGAAGTGAAAGCGGGTGTGGTTTCGCTGGAACAGAAAGCGACTTTTCGCGTTTCACAGCATTGCGAAGCGCGAAAAGCCGCTTTCTGTCCTGCGATCTACAACCTAGTGAATGCAAGGCGAGTGGAATTTACGAAGCGTCCATACGAGTACATCCCTCATTATGACCGCCCAAAACTGGAAACAACGATTACGCAAACTGCATGTTCATCCGCATGATTAGTTTGTGCGTCAATTTGATTTGAATCCGATCAAAAATTACCATGCTGAGGAGAAATGGAAGAAGAAGCAGACTCCGCAATGTACATCGCACTGGAGTTATGCTCTCGCGTTGCCAAACGCCGTCTATTGCACGCAAAGCAATCAGGCCCATTAAGGTGCTGCAAGCAAGAGGTAATATAGAAAAGGTAAACATCACAAGGAAGGGCATGAAGCATAAAAAAGCCCTGCGAAGTCAGAAAATAGTCGAACAGACCTGAAAAGGTAGAAATAACCGAGTCCTGACACAATGTTACGAGAAGCGTAGAGGAACGGCCGCTCAATGGTGGTTGCGGTTGACACGTACCTTAATTAGCTAGGCAGTTCGGCTGGTCACTATCACGGATCCTAGTATATACTTACACAGAATCCAATTCCTGATTTGGTTGATTTTCATGAGGCAGCGCAAATGGCCGAAAACCATCAAGTCCAGGGACACCGAGACCAGCAAAGTCATCTGACCCTGCTGCCCACATAAAGCACACAGAAACAATCAGCAGGAAAAAATGTAAGAAAATCAGAAGTCGCTGAACATGAGGTCCTTCTAGATTATAAAGATCTGTCCACTTCATTCACTGAGTTTATGAGCACCCTTACAATCGGAAAACACACTGCGCTGTATTACTCTTAAGCACACGCTAAGGCCGGACGCATAGTCGGTCGGACGACAGCAACGACTGCAAGTGTCGCACAGCATCGGGTGCGTATCGATCTGCGACAGCAGCGGTCGGACGACAGCAACGACCGCAGGTGTCGCAGATCGATACGCACCCAATGCTGTGCGACACTTGCAGTCGTTGCTGTCGTCCGACCGACTATGCGTCCGGCCAGACAGCTCTCCAGGTGCGTAAATCTCCGCCCTCAGATCTCTTGTAGTGTTTGCTATCGTAATAAGAACTTGTGGCCTGAAGGTTGGGAGGACGGATAGAAGCCTTCCATCCACGCACAGGTTCATTCGTCCGTGATTACGCAACCAAGAATGCTAACATCACTACGTCAACGCGACTCTCACGATACGCAACGCACTACTGAACCTTGCGAATAACATGGCTAGCGGGGGGTCGCGTGAGACCCAGTCACTCTCGGCCGATAGCAATTGCAAGCGATTAGTAACAATGCGTTCATCGCTCGGTCCGCTGTTCGTCGCCGTGTGTGACGGCGGTTCTGACCAATACTTGCATTGAGCCTCAAACGTGTCGCTTCCGAATTTCAAATGGGCATCAACGAATGTCTCTTTCCGTTGAGACTAGTGGCACATTCTCTATTTTTCTATATGGTGTGTTTTGTGTTCATTTCACAAAATTTATTAGTATTACATCTCAAACGCTCCCCACTTTCTTTCACACGATTTGGGGGGGGGGGTGCGGCCGCGGCAAAGCCTGGCCGAGTATGCGCCATCAGCTTACCTGAGTATTCGACGTTACATTACGGCATCAGCTTGCCTGAGTATTCGACGTTACATTGCGATACGTAATGTAACGTCGAATACTCAGGTAAGCTGATGGCGCATACTCGGCCGGGTTTGCCGCGGCCGCGCCCCAAATCGTGAAGAAAGTGGGGGAGCCTTCTAAGATTACCAAAGGGACGCCCGGCCAGTCAAACAAGAGGGTTTACGTTCGACCAAAGCACTATAAAATTTTAAAACGCATATGGACGATAATAAAGTGGAGAGAATAAAATTACGTTGCCGTATCGGCGTTCTTACACCATCAGGAGGGGATTGGATCTTACGAATTTTTTTTCTCTGAATTCGCCCAAAGGTCAGTAAATTCCTTACTCTACACATTCTGTGCTTCTCCATCGACGGTAACACTTCACACATAGGCCCAGCGCTACCGCGAGTGGCGGAGCATCTTCCTGACCAAGCCTATAAAGGAACTCCAGGAAAAATAGAAATTGTTCTTGCGCCCTAGATTTTGCGTGAAAAAAAACGTCTCCCGGGTTACGGTAGCCTGCCGGTTGCGCACTGGTGTTAGATTCTTGTGTGATATCACGTTAGAACCAATTAGCTCCTATAGCGTTTCTACGAAAAAGGGAATAGTAAGAGAAACTCGTCATTAAACAGCATACCTTGACATGGATGTGTCCAAAAAACCATAAGTAATATTCAGAACGAGCTCGCAATCTTCCGACAGCGTCTGCCTTGCGAATTCGACGAACTGTTGAATTAGGACTCATCGCTTCTAGTGCTGGTGAGCCCATAAGTTCCTCCTCTTTATTATCTTCCTAAAAAAAGAACAATCCTTAGAGAAAAATCTTCCACCCATCGATAGATGATGACGAGAAAAATAATGAAAAAGCGGCTTTTGTCCTAACACTGGTCTATATTACACCGCAAGAAAACATAAAGGAATATGGTACCGTACAATTGGTTGACTTTTTTTAAAGAATTGTGCGTCACTACAAACAAACTCAACCCCATTGGCACACATCACTCTATGTCTTTCCCCCGCGATGATTCGGCGCGCTGGTATGGATGTCGCAGGGGACTGTAGAAATTCAGAAGGGTGATGCGAGGTCAAATTGAAATGGCGTGAAAGCTGAATTTGCGAGTTATTCCAACACAGCGTTCGCTACAAAATGATAAGTGCACCATTCCTCACGTCTCCGTAAACGTTTCTCACACTTCAGGGCGGCCGCCGGAGGCTCGACGCGATCGCCTAGGCGCTGCACAACTGCCATCTTCAAAGTGAGGTTAATGCTCGCGTCGCTGACTTTTCGATTCGCCAAAATTGCGACGCGATCGAGACAATTGTACAATTCTTATTGACTACTGAAACCAGTGAGATGAGAGAAAGCCAAGTGGAATCATGAGCAGTCGTCATTCAGCCATCACTATCAAGCAGAAGTGGCGGCAGGATTGGAGAACACCTTGCAGTATTGATCGGGCACTTGTGATTTCCGTGACCCGTCGTGTGAATCGCGTGAATCGCGCAAATCGCGAAAATCAGTGAAACCTGCGACGGATCGCGGACTTGCGACACCAGTCAGAGTTTGCGAGTTCGCTAGCGAATCGCTGGACACGAGCGTTGCACCAACGAATCGGGATGTGTACCAGCGGATCGAACGATTACCAGCGACTCAACCTGTTTTAACCCTTTCGGCCCTGGCGGTGGCAATTGCCACCACCAAATTCAAACGCTTGCATTGCCGCTGAAACAGCATGGTTTTTCTAATCCTGCTAGAGGTTGCTTCAGTCAACCTTCCCCTTCCTAATTATGAGCTAAACCGGCCATTTCATTGTTTATTGCTGTTAGTATTGCAAGTATTTGTGTACAAGTGCAACAGTGAATGGGCGCTGACCCCCGCAACCGGCCAAGTAAGTGTGACTTTGTCTTAAAATACTTGAAGTGGATCCATTCCTAAATCAAAATTATGGGTTATAATATTATGCAAGATTATAAACTTTTTCGGCATAACTATGAAACTTCGAATTGTTTCGACATAAGCTTAAAAACTAAGAAGGTGGGCCAATTTTCAAAGCTTCTTAGTTTCTTTGTTTGTGATCGAATAGCTTCCAAATTTCGCCATAATGATACCTATATGCTCACAAGTAATAAACAATAGCTAGAAGAAAAATTTCTCCACGGGGAAAAATTCAGGTCCGAAAGGGTTAAAGTTGTTTCCCAAGATGCTCGCCTTTGTCAACAGTGTGTGT